CCGCCGCTCAGCCGCCGCGGTGTCTTGCAGGTCCCCCCGCAGCCCAGCACCATGGTGTTCTCCAGGGAGCAGCGCGACGCCGTGCACGACTCGCTGTGCCACTACGGGCACCTGGACGGCTTCAGAGGCCACCAGGAGCTGCACCGATTCGGGAGCCCCTATGGCCACCACGACCTGCACCGGTTCAGGAGCCACTATGGCCACGGCCGGGACCTGCACCGATTCGGGAGCTTGGCCGGCTACAACTGGCACCTGCACCGATTCGGGAACCCAGACGGCTACAGCTGGGACCTGCATCAATTCGGGAACCTGGACGGCTACAACTGGGACCTGCATCAATTCGGGAGCCCAGACAGCTACAACTGGGACCTGCACCGATTCGGGAACCTGGACGGCTACAGCTGGCACCTGCATCAGTTCAGGAACCCAGCTGGCTACAGCTGGGACCAGCACCGATTCGGGAGGCTGTCCAACTTGGACTGGGACCTGGACCGATTCGGGAGCTTGTCCGGCTACAGCTGGGACCTGGATCGATCCGGGAACTTATCTGGCTACAGCTGGGACCTGGACCGATTCAGGAACTCCTCCGGCCACAGAAGCTTTGGGAACCTGCATGGGAACAAAGCCTGGTCTGGTTACGGGAACCATTCCTGGGCCCACCGGCAGGTGCAGAACCATGACTTCACCTTCCCCTTCTCCGCTCGCTTCGGCGCCAGATCCAGCCGCGGGATCAGGCACCTCTGGTGAGGCGGCGGCTGCGGCGGGCCCGGCGGGGCCGGCCACGGCTCACGGGACGCGCGGAGCGCCCAGGCCTCCCGCCGGCACAGCGGGACCTGGGGGCACGCGGCTGCATGCGACCCCCCCTCTCACCTCTCCGCCTCTCTGGCCTTCCTCCTCCTGCTCCAAAGGGCACCTTGAGTTACAGCAAGCTCCCAGGCATCCTCACAACATGCTCATGGGATGAAGCAAGACTCCAGGAGCGTGTAAAATGCGTTTGAAATTAATTTACAGCCACCCTGTATTGCTAGAGTAATAAGTTATGTCGGTTATCAGACCTGCTTTCTGCAGCTGCCATGAATGAATCCCTTTCTGCCTAGCTCCAAACTTTGCCAAAGCCGACACACATTGGAGAAGCTCCTGCTGCATGTGCCATGCTGGGCCTCTCGCGAGAGCAAGATGGATCTACGAGCAGCTCGGTGAACAAGACCACACTGGACTGTCAAACTCCCCAGCTCCTACGAGGAGAGAGCATCAGCTGGCACCAAGCACTCTGCTTGCCGAGGGCCCTTCTGTAAAGCTGGAAACACTCTGTAACTGCTTGTTCTGTTCTTTATTTCCATTAAAATGATTCTGCGCAATATCAGCCATTCAGTCTCCTCTTTGCTTACACGCGCTGCAAGGCAGCAGCAGTTTCCTCTCTGCAACAGCCCTGCGGCTAAGGGTGTCCAAACCACAGGTGTGAGGGAGCATCGTGCTCCAGCCCTAACCTCTTCCTGAGCAGGAAGAGTAAGTTCTTCCTTATTCTAACTAATGCATGATGCTGTTTTTAAGCAATACTTCTGGAAAGGGGATAAGCTGCTGGCTACACACGCACACGCTCCTGGATCAGGCCAGCAGTCTCTTGTGTTTGAAGGCTACTGAAAAATAACCCTCAAAAGCAAGAGGTTGTTAAGCAGGAGCTTGACCTGGTGGCCAAGGAAAGACAGGGAAGGTGCTCACGGGCTCAGAAAGGCGCCCGGGAGGAACAGGCACAGGCAAAGCAGCCTCGAGCCTCGCTGGCCATGGGGCTGAGCAGCCAGGTTAGTCAGGCTGTTCCCGTCAGCCTCAGCCACGTTACTTGGGGAGACAAAGCAGCCTAGATTCAGATTTACAATATTAAAGATTATAATCTCGCACGAAACAAGGCTGTTCGGCAAGCGCGGCCCAGACAGAGCCGCGCTGACCCCATGCAAACGCGCTCACACATCAAAGCCAGGCCGCGAGGCAGAACCGCGGCGCAGGCGGCGCGGCCGCGGCGGGGACCCCGGCGCAGCGGGA